TAAATTCTTTGTTCTCTTGGGACTCGGGGCTCTCTCTCGCATCCAGTAATGGAGGCAGAGGGGGACCAAGCCCAGGCTTGAATAAAAGACTCTATGCTTTTGCATCGGACTCGGCACTCCCTGGTGGTTCTGTGGGGGGTCTTGAAATCTGGGCATAACATTATCTGTGATGCTCAAGTCAAACCTCCAGGGAGGTGGTGTTAGCATCTTACGTACAGAGAGACTGAGGCTCAGAGAGATTCAGTGACTCGCTCAGGGTCTTGCCCTGGGCCAGTCCTGAGTGTGTCTGATGGAACCCTGCGCTGGGGACTGGAACCAAAACAGAGTCTCTATACTCCTTCCTGGGAGAAGCCAGGGACCTGCACTGCTCAGTAGGAAGCCGGATCCTATTCCCCTCACCCCAAGAGCTTCATGGTTTGGGAGAGTGGGCTGTTGAAATGCAGGGAAGCCAGGGTCCATCTGGGCACGGAACGGTAGCTCAGGGCCAGCCAGGGGAGGACAGCCACACCCAGGGGCCACTGCCAAGTCTTCACGGGGAATGGAGTCCATCTATCCCTCCTTGTCCCATCGCACACGTAAATGGGACGCCCCTCCGTTCTCCTCCGCTCCTGTCCCCTCCAGAGGCAGGACCCACTCAAGCTGAGGCCAGAGCACCGGGTCTTTAGGTCATTAGCCTTGTCGCTAAGGCTTGTTTACCCTCCACAGGCCATGACTCTTCCTGCCTGACAAACGCCCCACGGCTGGATGTTTGTGTCACCAAAACCTGCCGGTGGTGCAACAGTTCGGGGACCAGTGACGTGGACACGATACCACGAAAAGGAGTCAATACCACAAATGGACGGAGTGCACTCTAAGTCAACATAGCAATGTTGTGCCCACAAAGATAAGGCTCTGAATTGTTTGTTTCTGTTTGTTTGTACCATTCCTCATCCCCAAAGATGGGAGGCTGCTGTCAGGAAAATGGAGATGATGATGATGATGATGATGATGATGATGATGATGATGATAGGGAGGGAGAGAGAGAGAGGAGACTCCCAGGACCAGTGAAAATAAGAAGAATAGCAGAAAATGAGGGCCTGATAAAGCACAAGGCCTGAAGGACACAAGCCCAGGCGCGGGAAGGCCACGCTGTGGTCAGTGAGTTTCACACTGGCTTTGGGTTTTCTGGACGCCCACGAAGGGGACGTTCAGCCAGTCACATACTCATCGTCATCAGAAACAGAAAGTGCACGGGACTCGCATGGAAAATAGAGCTTTCCCAAAGAGGGCGTTGCAGAATAGAGATCTCTGTGAGACCGTTTATACAGGTGTCTCTGGACTGTGAAAGTGACTGAGGAATGGCAATCTTGCTTAAGGTCAAGGTGAACAGCCCACATAGCTAAGCTTCTGGTGACAGGATCTATGGATAGAATTAAGAGTGCCTGCCATTTTTGAGTAGAAAGTTCTGTCTATTAAAATATTAACTAACATCAATAAATAGCTTTTAATTTTGTTAATATTTAAAAGAGTTCAATGCACAAAAAGTATAAAACACAGATAAGCAAAATATATATGATTATATATTTTTCCACCATTAGCATTTGTATATTCTTCCATATTTTTTCTAGGCATATATTTACATAATTTTATATAATTTTTTACAAATTTATTTTTATGTGATCAAGCTGTTTAGTAACCCAATTTATCATTTGAAGAGTACATCATATGTATACATCTATGTCAATAAGTGTTCATTCACAATATGATTGTTAATGGAGATTAATATGGACATACCATAATTTAACAATATCTTGTACATTATATTTTGCTTATTTGGTTGTCTGGTTTTTTATATGTTTTTATTGATTTTTAGAGAGAGAGGAAGGGAGAGGGATGGAGAGATAGAAACATCAATAACAGAAACATCATCAATTGGCTGCCCTCTGCACACTCCCGACTGGGGATTGAACCCAAAGCCCAGGCATGTGCCCTGTACTGGAATAGAACCATGCTCAACCACTGAGCCACACCAGCCAGGCTATTTGTTTTTTATTTTTTATTTACTGATTTTATTTACTTAAAAAACACATTTTTATTGATTTCGGAGAAGAAGGAAGAGGTAGAGAGAGATAGAAACATCAATGATGAGAGAAAATCATTGATTGGCTGCCTCCTGTATGCCCCACACTGGGGGATTGTACGGAGCAGCTATAGGGTTAAGCCTTAGGACTGACCTGTTGGTAAAGCCACAAACAAGTCCCAGCTTAGAGGGCACAGCATAATTAGGCTTGGCCTTATGAGCTCCCTAATCTTATCTGGGTAGCTAATGGGCTGAGGGAGATGCAGCAAGTGCTGCCAAAAGAAGTGAAACTCACAAGAACATTGTAACTATGGTGACCACTACCTTGTTTACCTCTGGCTATAAAATAAAGGCTCAGCTTGCTGTCTGATCTCTCTCTGTGGCCTCAGCCAGGCACAGGAAGATCCACCGAGACCAGCCGTGGGCAAACTACGGCCTGCGGGCCGGATCCGGCCCGTTTGAAATGAATAAAACTAAAAAAAAAAAAAAAAAGACCGTACCCTTTTATGTAATGATGTTTACTTTGAATTTATATGAGTTCACACAAACACTCCATCCATGCTTTTGTTCTGGCCCTCCGGTCCAGTTAAAGAACCTATTGTGGCCTCAGCCAGGCACAGGAAGATCCACCTAGACCCAGCTTATTCTCTTTGTCTGTCATTTCTCCATCTTTCGCCGCCCTCACTCAGGCTTTCGAACCCTTGGTTGAGCTGGCACGGCACACGTGGCGCCCAACACGGGGCCTGAGTTCGGGGGAACTGTAGTTGTCAGGTGAAAGGACGCTCCAGTGAAGCACATGCGAAAAACAAGAAAGAAGGTAAGGAGCGAAGTTCAGTAATAACTAGGTGTAAAGCATGGGAAATTCAGGATCGCAGGAAAAGAATTATATGTATCCATGCTTAAGGCTATGCTCCAAGCTCGGGGCTGTTCTGTGAGATATCAACAGCTCTTCGATTTGTTGGAGTTTATAAGTTAAACCTGCCCATGATCTTCTGAGATAGGCAAGGTAAATATAGAGGCATGGGAGAAGGTAGGAAAACAACTTAGAGATCATTATATCGCTGAAGGTCCAGAGGAAATGCCTGCCTCTGCTTTCAGTCTGTGGTCCCTAATTCGGGACTGCCCAGAGCCCACTCCAGAAAGGGAGTGGATGAATATGGCAGGGGAATCAAGACAGATGGGGGAAGGCTACCAGAGGACTTCTTGTCCTATGTATGGACCAACCTTCCCCTTTGCACTGGGGTTACTAGATGCAGTATCTGAGGAAGCTATGGCTCCTGGTGACTGGAACACTGTCGCGAAGGCTTCTCTCACCTGGAGATTACTTACTATGGAAACCTAATTGGGCAGAGCTTAGTGCGGAGCAGGCTAGCAGAAACCACGCTCATGGGGTGCCCATTACAATTTATATGCTCATGGGCACCGGGCCTCACGGGGCTTTGCAGGCTCAGTTAGTATACCCCATGCAAGCTTATCAGCAGATAAATATATGTCACCAAAACGTAGAGGCAAGTGCCAACAAAAGGGGAAAAGTCTTTAGACATAAGCAAAATTAGGCAAGACCCTGAGGAGCCATATCAGGATTTTGTGGCTCGTTTGTTCCCAGCCATAGGCAGGGTTGTGGCTGACCCTGAAGCTGGAATGATACTCGTGAAACAATTAGCTGTTGAAAATGCAAATAGAGTGTGTCAGGAGGCTTTACCTCCCCACGGGAAGAATGGGACTGTACATGATTTCATCTGTGTTTGTGCTGACCTTGGACCAGCCTACGTGCAAGGAGCAGTATTAGCTGCCACATTAAAGGAGGTGTTGTTCGCTGGTCAGCAGAAAAGGAGAGGGGGATGCTTTAACTGTGGCAAACGAGGGCATTTTGCTAAAGACTGTAATCCTCGAAAACAGAAGTCAAAGGCTACAGGGAGTGGAAACAAGCAGTCCGGACTATGTCCAAGATGCAGGAGAGGAAAGCACTGGGTAAATGGATGCCACACCAAGACTGATGCTGACGGTAATCCAGTACCCCCTAGGCACGGAAACTTCAAGCGGGGCCAGCCCTGGCCCCACCAAACAGTAGGGGCCTTATCCTTAACGCCACTACAGCCTTTCCAGCCTGCTCGGTCCCAAAACCAACGTTCGAAACCTCTACCGTGCCACCCCAGGAAGCGCAAGACTGGGCCTCAGTCCCACCTCCCGATATGTACTAACCCCGGAGATGGGGTCTCAGGCCATTGCCACCAGAGTGTATGGTCCCCTTCCTGCAAGCGTCATGGGACTACTTTTAGGGAGGAGCAGCTTAACATTGAAAGGGTTTCAAGTTCTGCCCAGGGTGAGAGATCAGGACTATACTGGAGAAATTAAAGTAATGGCACACACAATTAATACTATAGTTCAGGTCTTACCAGAAACAGAAATAGCACAAATTCTCCTTCTGCCTTACTACCCAGAAAGGCGGCCTTTAACCGGTCAGCCCCGTGGTGCAGCGGGCTTTGGGTCCAGTGACGCGGCATACGGGGCAAGATTAGGTAAGCAGGGCCGACCTGAGTTAGAACTAAGGGTTAATGGGAAACCTTTTAAAGGGGTTATAGATACTGGAGCTGACGTGTCAGTCATTGCTTCCAGACATTGGCCGCAGGCCTGGGCTTTAAACCCCACGGCTTCTGAATTGCAAGGAGTAGGACATGTTACTCAGCCCTTGAAGAGTGCTCAACTCCTTCGATGGGAAGATCCAGATAGAAATACAGGCTATTTTCAGCCTCATGTATTGCAACATTTGCCTGTAAACCTATAGGGTCGAGTTATACTAGAGCAGATGGGAGTTTTAATAACAAGTCCCAGTTCCATTGTGACATCTCAAATGCTTACTCAAGGATTTCACCCCCTAAGAGGGCTAGGAAAGAATCAGCAAGGGAAGCATTTATCTATCCCAATGTCCACTCAAAAGGGGAGGCACGGATTAGGTTACCAGAATTTTCAATAGGGGGCTTGATTGTCTCTCCAACCCACCGTACAGCCGCTAAAATTGCCTGGCTTGTGGATACCCGTCTGGGTTGATCAATGGCCCCTAGCTGCACAAGAATTGGTTTGAGTACAATTTGTGGCAGGGCATATTGAACCCACTCACAGTCCATGGAACACGCCCATATTTGTAATAAAGAAAAAGTCTGGTAAATGGACTATTGCAAGACCTAAGGGCAATTAATAAAACCATGGAGATTATGGGGCCCCTTCAGTGGGGGTTACCATCCCCAGCAGGTATTCCATTGAAATATAATTTATTGGTACTAGATCTTTTGTGTGTGTGTGTGTGTGTGTGTGTGTGTGTGTGTGTGTGTGTGTGAGAGAGAGAGAGAGAGAGAGAGCGAGAGAGAGTGTGTGTGTGTGTGTGTGTGTGTGGGGGCGCTGTGGGA